CACCCTGAGCTTCAGAGCTGACTTGACACTAACCTTTTCACTGTAGCCTATCTCCATCGTGTCAAGTAACCTCTGACCAGATTCGAGTGCCCCCGCCGCCCGCCAATCAAATTTAAAGCCCGCACTCAATGACTCATTGAACGATCTAGCCAATGAACGCGAACGAGTCAAAGCGCGCTTTGTTCAAATCCGGACCAATCAAAGATAAGGCTGAATATCAGGGACTTGCCGTAACCTGTGGGCAGCACGCAAAATACATCATCCCTCAGTAGATAATGATGCAGGGCATCATACTGCTCTGGTTTCAATTCCGATATACTCCATGCTTTCTTTGTGTACGGTTATGCACTCGGAACCACTCGGAACTACTCGGATGTCTCCGCACTCAACAATAACTATGTTGTTAGTATGGAGCTTGCGGAATCAGCCGAGGATTGCCGATTGACGATCAACCAATCAGCGTTTTCACCAAACTTTGGTGAAAAATTTTGAAACATGGATTCGATTGGCTTATATAAAATAGGTCAAACTATTTTCGTCAGAGGTTACTTGACACGATGGAGATAGGCTACAGTGAAAAGGTTAGTGTCAAGTTAGCTCTGAAGCTCAGGGTGGTCAATGAGGACTAATGGCCAATGTTGTTGACTGCTTAACATGAGGTGAACCTCATTAATACCTGTACAGAACGGGGCCGTAGCAATAGTCCGAAGGTTCAATAGTCCGAAGGTTCATTGGTCCGAAGGTTCTATAGTGAACCAATGAACCCTTGATTAAAAAACCGATGAAAATGTTCCCATTTTTCGGACCAATGAACCTTTGCACCAATGAACCTTCGGACTATCGAGACGCCCCCGTACAGAACTACCAGTAGACCAAACTTCCATCTGTAGTACTAATACTGTACAATGTCTGTATTCACCTTATGACAACATGAAACAGGAATGTGACGCACTGTACACACTTAAACCTTATATTATATTACTACTGAGTAGTACTTACCCCCTTGCATTACTTCCCAGGGGTGAGTCTGATCTTGCATGAGCCATGTTGGGATGTTAGTCAAGCTGGACCAGACAAGCACATGTACAAATGCCCTGTACAAATTGATTCACATATATAGGAGTTTACATGTTTCTGCCACCCTCCTGCTACCTGCCTCTTTGATCTTTGATCTTGACCTGTATTTAGGAAAAAGTCAGATGATTATAATCACCAGCTATTTGTTTATGTTTAACTTTATCCAGGCAAGTTACTCACTTACTGTAGAAGAAAAAATTTGGCCAATGAACTTTTGAATTTTTTTTTTTTTTTTACAAAAAGCTGTCTTACTGTTAGGATAGATTCACCGTAGGTATCGAGTCTAAGCATGGGGAATGAATAGTAAATACTTAATGTGCCAACTAGAAAAATAATGCCTTGTACTAGTACATGTCTTGTAAATGCCTTGCAATGAACGCATTTTAATTACGGAAAAAACTAAAAAGATTTTTATTTCTTTTGTTTCTTAGTTTCTTTTAAAATATTCCTGATAAAATATCGTTGTTCATGCTGCTTATATAATAAATCAACAGGGGATAAACAATTCCAGTTTTTACTAGTTTCTGATTAAAACAATGTAAATCAGCTGCAGCAAGCAGAAACCATGCGTGGGCCGTAAACAACTGCCAACTGACTGAAACCATTTCAAAAACAAGAACGTCAAGGATAGAAGGTACCCACCAGGTTTTGAAGTCTCATGCAGTTTCTACGTCAAAATAGCATATCTTTTGCTCCACCGATAATCTTCTAATTGAAAAGAGAGTCGCTTTATGACAAAATCCTAACAAATTTTGGCGTTGCTAAATTTTTGTTAGGATGCTGAAAAGATACTCGTATCAACATCGATAACATATCTTAGCCAAGAAAAGCCGAAAGTGTGCCAGTTGAGATTTCTACACACGTTACGATTTAGACGACTGACTTGACGTTTAAGCAATACTCTGGTCTAAACTGCGTGCAAATGCCACTAAATAAAAGTTTCTCTTGCTTTCAACCTGTGGCTCACTCGGGGGCATTTGATAAAATTTAAATAATCATTTTAAAATGTGTGACATGAACTTAGTTTTCAGAAATATATCTTTTACATCTAATATAAAAAGAAGTTAAGCTATTATTTCACAGAACTGTGCAAGTGCGCAAGAAATTACTTTAGGTTTCATCAGCTTTACTTTAAAACAAAGACACACTGTGGATCTTTGGCGCCCATAAAATCGAATAACTATTTTTGAATCAATTTACGGACTCAAACACCCTGTGGAAAGCCACTTACTACTCATTTTGTGCTCAATCGACTATAAAAAACTCGTTTCACGTGCAATATACTTGGAATCATATATAAGTAGATAAACAACAAGACCCATGTTTTGCTTAAGACAGCTTTTATTAGACCACCATTTTGTTACAAATAAACCTTCCATTAAGAATCCCCATCGAGACATACGAAAACATCAAGTTTACCTATCACTACTGTTCCGCAATCAGGGTGCAGAGGTGAAAAGATATCTTATATTGCACTTTGATATATATGTGTATCATGTTTAACATACCAGAAATAGCACCCACATTTCACCATTAAAGTCAGTCTTTATGAGTGTACTTTTTAAGTACACATACCATTTACAATTCCACCAGGAGAGAACGTTTTGCCACCAACAGCATATAATTTACGTTATGCCCTTCACCAAATAACAGTAACTAAAGAATGTCAAACTGGGAAATGTCTGTATTATATGATAAATAAATTCAAAGTTGGTTTGTCAACTGTTCATAAATCAATATTTGGAGCTCATATTTCATCTTGAAAAGAGTGATGATAGTACTTTCTTTTTGCATAAAGCCACTACAAGAGAGATTTTGAATGCACATTTAAACAGTTATGAAACGCTTTAAAACATGAAAAATGTTAGTAGAATGGGACAAATTTTTGCACAAAACTTAAATTAATTTCAAAGCTTAATGTCAATTCTTTGATTCTTTAGAAAAAATATCAAATTACAATTCTTTAAATACCTTAAATTGGGAAAAATCAAAATTAACAATGAGACTCAAAAACATTCTACCAGAGCAAAAGTAGATTGGACATTGTATTTTGAGAATTTACATTGTCACAATGAGTTAAATGATTAATTCCATTGTTTAAAACACAGACATGCATGATTTATAACAATTACATCCAGAGTCACTGATAATATATAACATCCAGATAACATAATAATAACAATATGACCATGATTGGTATGTGCAGTGGTCATTCGATGGGGTTCTGTCACCAAGCACGACTACTCCTCAGCTGTCTCAATGATTTGCTGGAAGTCAAAGGCATGGAAAGCGTAGCCCTCGCCTTTGTAAAACTTGCTCTGGAACTCCACCCTGGAACAGAAAGACGTTCATGTTTGGAGTAAAAGGAAAAAAGTACTTAAAATTTCTTATGGTGACATATAGCAAAGTTTTCAAAAAAAAAAAAAAGTCTGACAAAAATATATTGACCTGCATCAAGTCAATTTTGTTTATTTTCTCCTCGTATATTATAGGCATGTAATTCTGTGTGCTCAGACTTCTTCAATTAATCCCCAAACTTTGACCAGGATATACAGACACACTTTCCCACACCATGTTATGTGGCACATATTGTGGCGCTTCAATTACTACCATACTAACCAGTGCAAACGCAGAGTGTGCAAGAAAGCTGACAGGCCCTCCATCAACAACAAGATGGCGATGGTCAGCACAACCCAGGCAGCAAAGATAGGAACCAGGATGACACCACCGTAATATCTGCCCTGTCTGAGGCCAATCTGCAGGACCATGTCCCACAACACTTCAGACAGCTCTGGAAAAGAGACGATACAGAGGATGAATGACAACTCATTTCCATTACTGAGAGTAAATTTTATTTTCAAGACAATCAACACTTGTTCTAGGGACTCGGTTAAAAAAAAAAACGTTGCCCATTTTTTCTTTTTTTTTTCATTGTGAAGGAGAAATTTATCTTTTCAAATTGTACGCCAAGACCAATTTCAGACCAGTTTCTGGGACAGACCCCAGCAATCGTATTATCACAAATTAATAATTATAACAATTAATGGGTCATTTATAATTAACACACCATTCATTTACGCAGGAAATGGACAGACAGTGGTCTGACCAGACATCTCTAACCATGCTTATAACTTACGTGCGTGGGCCAGGCTGAGAGCCCACAGTCGCAGGTAGGAGGCTGTGTGGGAGATGGTGCCCAGACAATACTCTATAGTGTGGATGGCTGTGTGAATGAACACCTCAGCAAAGTCAAAGTCCTGGCAGTGGGCAATGGACAGATAGATTTATTAGTCAATATACATAAAATTCATTTGTACTCATATGCATGACCAGGTGGATGGATGAACGGACTGAAAAGAATACAGATCTGAAAATCTGAAACTGAGTGAGGTGGAACAACCCCCAGCTAAACAATACTGAGACCTAATTTCTCCCAAAGAAAAACATGTAGAACATATCCTTTGCAGTTATCAAAGTCAGCCTGTGACCGATTTCTATCCATTACATAATCTTTCATCAATGAAAAACTATGAAGGGATTCAAACATTTAAAATTAAGTTTATCAATGTAAATTAATCAAATCAAATATATCCGTCCAATTACAATTAATAACCCTATACCAACTGCAAACATACAAAATGCAGCCATATGTTACTTCTTGTTTTTAAAAGGTTATAAGTTAGCCACTATAACAAATTAATTGCAAATTTGAATTCATTTTCATGAGTGGTTTGAACTTATTACACATGCCTTGTAATCTAAATTACATGCAATAAAATTATCAATTCAACTCAAACTAGATTAAGAGGTAACATCTGAAAAAGAAAATAAAATCAATTTCAAAATAAATATAATAAATTGATAAATCAACCCAATAAAACCCACAAACAAGCCATTTCTCTTGTATGTCCATCACTTGTTTAGTACTTTTTTAGGGTATTTTAATGTTCACTTCCAGTCTACCATTTCAACATAATTTTAGGAAGACAACAGTAATGACAAATGAAAATCAACAAGATAGTGAACATCAATGTGTTCTACTAAAAGGTGCTGAACTAAGTGTGGACATGGAGAAATAACAGGCCAGGGTCAGTTTGCACAAGAGAACTTTAGACAGTGAGTTGGTCTTATCTTTTTGTCTCAATTTTTTTTTTTTTTGAGTCACTTCAATTTAGGATACGGATGTTATAATTCACTGAGATAAAGTTTTGGTCAAAATCATTAGCCATGATTGCATTTTAACAGGCATAATATTTCATTTAATTGGACTACAGCTGTTTTGCTTTGGGCATAAACAAACTATAACTTTTTGCCTAAATGTTAAGACGAATCTCTGTCTAATGGTTTTTTTGTGAGGCAGGCCCCTGCATATAGTGCCATAATGTAGCCCACTTCAGTATGTACTGTATTCCACTATATGATATCATATAACCACCACCACTGCAATGACAGATTCAGTCAGCCATGCTCAGCAAACAGCTTGTGTGCTTTAAAAACTTTCAAAGACTTTTTTTACAAATTTCCTTTTTCTTTCTTTTTGTAGGTTGGACCATAAAAAATTGGCTATGATTTTGAAAGAAGTGGGTAATGAAAGTTGAGAAGCCAACTTTGGCTGAAAACTGTAAGTCATCCTGGTTTTATAAAACTTAGTCAAGGAGGTGATTTAGAGAGGTATTTGGAAAGGCACGCAGGAATTCCACAGGATGAAGAACTTCATGTGGTTGGAAAATGACCAATTTGAAAGTTAGAAGAATCTTGAGAAACATTTGAAAATAACGAGCAAAGATGAATCTGGAAGACTGCACTTAAAGTAATCAATTTTACAGTTAATTTTTTTCTACACTGATTTAAGTGAGGAAACAAACAATAGTAAAATTTATTGTTATTCCTGTAAAAACTAGTGTAAATACTAAATTCTGTGCAAAATTCATTACAAGTAAGAGAGTTCAACTTCTACTTGACAACCATATACTAGGCAATCTCTTGTATAAAAACCTATCAGAGTGATTCAGAATCCTTAGAGTATTTTGATGAAATTCAATATTTCTAGCTATGACAAACATTTATTTACGTACCAAATTTTCTGTATTAATCACCTATGCATAATGTTACAGCTAATATTTATATGAACCTAGTTTTCGTACAATAATTCTGATTTCCAATGAAAGTAAGCTTGGCAAGCAGATCATCGTAATTATTGAAAAAACCTTCAGGAAATTAAGGGTTAAGTAACACCTCGTAATAGCTATACAAAATTCAAAGCATATATTGTTAAGTAAAAAGTTTTGTTATTAATATAAATGTATGTAAGCAAGCCAAAAATAAATTGTATTATTTGAGTTATGCACAGCATAAGCAAAAAGACTTCTGTCTTTTTTGATGATTGTGTCTAAATGGAAAGATGTCTCCCCATCTCTAGGTTTGGATAATCAAAATCTTAAACTCTATGACTTTCAATAATTAAAATGAAAACAATATTTAGTGAGATATATAAAGTTTTAAGTTCCTAATTGTTGTATGAGAACTTCTGAGGCAATGTGTACTTAATAAATGCATAAGGAAATCAAACTATTTTGTGACAAAAAGGTGTTACTGCAAAGTTAAAAGGAAGCATAGGCTAGCTACCAATTCTCAATCAGGGAATATAAACCAAATTGTATTTGTAGTGTTACTTAGGCTTAATAATAATAATAATAATAGTCAGGAGATATTAGTATTACATCACACAGAGAAGAAACAAATCAGGATAAAGTTATCTTCAATGGAAATAAAGATGGATAAGAGGATTTGTGGTTATAAGTCACAAACAAGCAACAACAATGGAGGCCAAATGGACAAAAAATAAAAATAATAAAAAAAAAAAAAAGAAAAAAAAAAAACATAATGTGACAGCACATATAGCACACACGTTGTTACGTCTGATATGGACTGACCTCCTCCTTAGCGCCCCCTGGTGCTGGCAACCCAGCTCCAGACGTGGACACTTGCACTGCGTCATGGTGGATTATCTCCTGTTCGGAAGTGGTGTCTGCTGGGGCACTTTCTGCCTGTTCCCCATGTTTCTTTGATGCCTAAAGAATCAGCAGCACACCCAATTAACATAAACCAATAACACTCCCCAGAGATGGTTGCTGATAGCAGACAGTGGGGGTGGGTGAGATGGTTATTTCACAACTCTTGACATTTGAGGACTTTTTTTTTTCAGCAAGCTAGCTAATATTTACTAAATTCAATTCAATGACAAATTGTCAGGAATTATTTTCTTGTAGTAATTGTTGAATAATTTCAGCCATTGAAAATTCAACAATCAATTTTGAAACCAGTAGAGCTTTCTTGGTTCAGTTAAGCATCATCAAATGCACCCCACTTCCCTAGAGTCACACCCACACCCTCAGTGCAGCAGCAACCATCCCCCCCAGTTCCACATAACTACAATCCCCCCAGCACTGTATACCTCCTTAGCTTCATGTGAGGCAAGCGGCGAAGTCTCGTCATGGTGGGTGACTTCACTGTCTGGAGAAGGCTCAGCTGCTGGTGCATCGTGCTCCGCATGTGATTTCTAGTGGTACACAGTTGGTATAATTATTCAGTGTGTGTGTGTGTGTGTGTGTGCGTGTGTGTACATGTGTGTCACAGTGTAGTCCTTTGCTGCAGGTATAACTATTACGTACAATACATGAATGCAAGTTCAATTAAATAAATAGTGCTCGTTTCTATAAATTAAATTCTCCAAACATATTTTTAATTTCAGACTGGATACTTATCTATTTTTAAAATGCACTATTTTTCAATTTATTATTTCCCACTCAATTTATTATTTCCCACATTCTCACTCAATCCGATTTCCTTATAGTCAATAAACAATCTCCCATTCCCATAATCTATATGACTAGTTCAAGGCATGTTTTTTCCCAGCAAATAAATTTCTAATACATGAAACGCCTCAACATTGTCTTAATTTACCATATAAGAAGCCCTGATGGAGGGGCTGAACTTGAGCAGCAGAGGTTTGGTCAGCAACATCCAGGGAACACACAGCAGGGCAAGCAGGACTAAGATGATCTGGAACACCTGTTGACCTTGGCCTTCCTGTAATGAAGAAATACATCAGGTAAGTTGTATTCTAGGCTTCTCAAAAATTTTAAGATTTTCTTGGTCACCAGAACAGCAATAGGATTCCTTAAGGGGTTTTTTACTTATTAATTTTTTTATATTTTTCTATTTTACACCACTTAATACTGGATATCATCTCAAATTTAAGTATGTACCATTATCAAAGAAAAAAAACTTTTAAATCAGAAATTATGATAGTTAAAACCAAATACATGGAGTAGCAGAAACATGTTCATCATAGCTTATTTTTTTTACATGTTAAACAGGTGAAAAAGTCAAGGACTTTTTCATTTCTGTGTATGTGTTATTTCTTGACAAAAAGTGCATTAAGTACTCATAGTTTTCAATCTTATACAACTATCAGCCATGGATCACCCACATAATGTAATGTGTCACAGTCAGTAAAGGAATTTCACAGAAATGTCTCTTTTATAGAATGCTTTTCATTCAATTCTTCAGAAAGAAAATGACAGAATATAGAAATTTGAAATTCTGAACAGAAATTGCTTATAGACTTGGTTTAATCCTTTCATTATATTATTTTTACTATTCACAACAAACAATGTATCATTTTCATCAATTCTAAAGTTATACAGGTTAATCCACTACGTCTGCATGTACAAATTTTCAAGAATCATTTCTTAATCAAAATAATTTTGTTTACTTCATAAGGAGTAAAAAGAGAAATCTTATTCACTTATTGTCAGAGAAGCAGAGAATCATGACTATCAGACAGACATCAGTGTTAACTTTGCAAGGATATGAGCGAGGTGGGTTGCCTCGCTAAAATCAAAAGCCACCCCCTCCCAAAAAGCCACCTCATTGCTAGACATTTTAATACATTTGGTCAGAGACTTTAAATGTAGGATCTACTGATCATCCTTTCCAATTTAATTTGTCAATTTCTTGCACCCCTTTAAACATGCAGTCTACTAAGAAACACTGTAAGAGTGCTTGAAGCTGACATACTGGTCCAAATTTTAACACCCTCTCCCCCTCACGAATCCTGTACAAATAATTGACCTAAGGTGGTAGTTATGTCTCCTGTAGGGACATAATATAAGCCAAGGAAATGTGGGAGGTTTCTGGGTGGATATGCACCTCAACCAGACAAGTGTATCAGGGGAAGATCAGATAATATTTTGAAGCAGTTTTCACTGCATAACTGCAGTAGAAAACTGTAATATCAATACCTCTTGTGTAACATCACCATTGTTTATAACGAAGAAGCTTGCCTGAAATATGTTTCAAAATTTGCATGGTTATCAATAACTTTCAAAAAATTAAAAAAAAAAAAAAAAAAAAAAAGACAATGGACAAACACAAAAATAAACACTGAGCCTACTGCTTACAAACAAAGATTAATAAATAAAGGTAAATTAACAAACAGATAAAAAATAAATATTCAACAGAACAAACAAATAAAGCATCTTAATAAACACAGCATAGTATAAATGAGTTGCTGGGTCTGTGTTGTTTTCTACTTACAGCTCCTCCATACCAAGTGATAGTACTGCAGGCTGCTTGGCCTCTCTTAGGGTAGGTGAACAAGAACATGTTGATCAACCCTAGAAATAACAACATGAAAATGACCTTGAAAAAACAACCACTTCATAATTTTTACTATACGTTTTTAATCTTCTGTGGAAGATGAAAACAATGAACTAGTTGAGACAATTGGATAAAACAGAAAAAAAACTAAATCAAAGAGCAAAAATAAAGAAAAAAGAAAGATAAAAGTTCAGATCAGTTTTCAGTTTTAAGAGGTTTGTGAGACCTTGTCCTGGGGCCCGTTTCCCAAAACAACTTAAGCCCAATAATTGATCCAAGCTGCGAGACCCAACTTAGGTTTAATTCACTGACAATCCACAGTAGTCCACTTATACAGTATTGGATTAAAACAATTACCATGTCCCTGCAGTAACAAAACAGCCATAGTACTTACAGAACCACCACCTATTCAACTCGTGTCAAAGTGGACAAAATATAAAGTCTAAAATTTAAGGCTCTATTCCCATAGATTTTAGATCGATCTATCCCCGCGGGGAGTCTCACTAGATTACTTTCAGATAATCCGACTTAAATGTCCGTCCTGCCTACTACAAGCTGTAAGAGGGTAATTAACTTTCGTGTCCGCCCGGCTGACAGTTATTTGACGTGAACCTCCAGGGAGTTAGGTCGATCTAAAGTAGGTCGATCTTATCTATGGAAATGGGGTGTAAGACCAGTTTTCAGCTGGCCATAGCTCTTTTTGTGACCCAGGCGCCCTAGTCTAGCACTAAAACACACACTAACCAATGAGCAGACTGGGTGCACAGTTGGTGTTCATCCCATTGTCAATGGCATTGAAGACAAACCACTTGACAAAGACGAGGAGGACCAGGTAGCCGAACATACACAGCAGGAACAGCACCTGAGGAATGAACTCGCAAAATATGCTCAGCTTGTTCTTGAAATGCCTGGAATATGCAAAAATACATACAATGAACAAATTTTATAAAAATAATAATAATAATTATAAACAAATAAATAAAACAAACACATTAAATGTCTGTGTAAAAACTTTCATACCTGAAAAAAGGCAATATTATGAATCCTAGACAATAATGACAATCAATAAAACTCCATTATTTCTCAATTTTGTTTTCCTTTTAGGATTACCAATATTATAATTTACACATTAGACAATTAATGTACTGCAGAGAGATAGCAAACATTACAGAATCATTTAGACCGCATAACACTACCATTACTATTTGTAATTATTTTTTTTTAGCAAAGATGTGAGACAAAACTGTCCCTCCCCCCACCCCTCCTCATAATGACAAACAACTCACATGTGGTTAAACAGTCCTAACCAGACCCCAAACATCATCTGAAACACGCCCATGATGATAGACAGCTTCATCTTAAAGGAGTTGGTGTAAGTGATCTTGTTCTCAGCCAACTGCCATACCTGAAAAATAATGGAAAAGTATAGGTCTTGGGAGTAAATAATTATAGGGATTGTACTGGTCAATTTCTATTTGAAGTAGATAAAGAGGAGTGAAGATGTGTCATATTGAGGGATTCAGTCATGCAAGTATTGAAACTCATACAGTTTGCCCTTCTTTACAGAGAGCATCACCACTCAATCATGTACTCATTCTTTAGTCATATTTGCATCTGATCAAGCCTGCCTGATTTGAGGGTCAATAAGTGCAGTTAGGGGTCAATGGGTGCAACGTGTGGTCAGTGAAAGTTTTCCCACTTACTGGATCTATTCCAAATGGGTAGACCCCCCTGGTGAAGTAGGCTGTCATGTTGGGGTCACCCTGCAGCTGGCTGGGAAAGTGCTTCAGGCTCCGGGTGCCATTCCTGAAACATTCCAGTTATATAATTAAATATATAAATTATGTGCTCTATATATATAAAGGAAGTTTGACAGATATTAAAGTAAAAATTGTGAGCTAGATTCAGTATTAATTACTAGCAACCTAAACAATGATCAATTTTTCGTTTTTTAGAAAAAGATCAATGCTAACCTTTTCACAGAAAATATTACGCAAAAATAAAAGAATTATTTTGCTACGATGATCATAGCCTGTTATGTACAAAATCTTTACTGTATGCTCTCCATTAAAAAAACTTACACTACGAATTCACTTTCAGGCACCGTCCAAGAAGAACCAAATATATTGGTGGACCTGGAGAAGATGTCGTTGTAGATCATACCGGAGTAACAGGAGAACAAGCCCATCATCATAATGATGTAACGCCCACCGAAGAACGTGTTTGCAATCTGGAAATACAAGACATTCACTATATGCTATCATTTCTGTTTGGGGGGAAAACATAAAAACAGATAAGCAATGGTAACTAAGTGGTAGCCCCTGTATATGAAAAAATGGACGCTTTCTTATATTTGCACAAGCTTGCCATTTTTTGTGATCATAATAGGGCATGGTATGAAACAAAAAATCTACCTAAAATGATGTCTTTTTAACTTTTTAAACACACACACTAACAATGAAGGAATTTTTCAACTGACTCATTTCCAACTATTTGTTTCCTGACAGAAAACCTCACCTCATCATCCAACTTGGAGGCCATGATCTGTTTCTCCTTGATGACGAGAACCAGGGCAAACAGGAACATAACGAACCCGTGACCTGCGTCTCCAAACATGAGAGAGAACAGAAAGGGGAAGGTGATGATGGTATACGGAGCTGAAATAAAAGACAAGAACGTAAACAATCCACGGCCTGCATCTCCAAACATGAGAGAAAAGGAAAAGGAAAGTGATGGTGATAAAATTAACTGAAAAATGTTAAGAAGAAAACAAAGAAGTCAAAACTTGCATCCCTAAACAATAATAACAGGAATATAATTGATTATTACCCTCACTGGCCTTATTGTAATTATTATTGTCATAATGATTGTCATAAGCATGTTTATGATTATCATTCCATCTATTTTTAGTATTGAATTTAAACATGAGAAGGTGGTGAACAATATAATGGTGAGATTTAATATTACATAACATGCCTTTATTACATAATAGATATATTAGATTTCAGTGAATACATACTTGGGTTCATCTCCCCGTATGTGTTCACACCATAGGCATCAATGATGCTCTGAAAGGCGCCAGTGAACTTGTTGGTCTTGTGGTAGGTGGGAGGCGCCTCCTTGGTGGTCATACGGTTCAGGATAGATGGAACACTGCTGCCACTGCGGTCCTGAGGTGCCACAAATACAAACAATTAAGAGCTCAGTTTAAGTAAACTGTGATAGCTCTCAATGTAATATGCGGATGAGGTAAAGAATATAGGCCTTGGCCGTCTCTGTGCCATTTATTTACTCATTTTTGTCATTTTTCTTTTTTGATTTTTTGGGCTATTGGCTCAGAAAACTTGATAACTTTTCTTCTTCATAGGAAATATTCTGAAATCTAAATCTTAACTCTTAAAAGCATTATCTTTTAATTCAAACTTTTGTTTCCACATGTCTTATATCACGCAAGAGGCACAGAGACATGAGCAGTGCCACTTTTAACAAAATAAATCATCATTATTAGTGACAGCATATCACTTACAGGCAAAGACAAAATCACATGAATACAATCATGGTTACATAACACTTCATTTAAGGCTCAGGCTGAATTCCACAAGAGATTCACATAAATCCTGCACTATATATAATCCAGTGTCTGTGTAACACTTACAGTGCCCCTCCTGAGGGCCAGCTGTATCTTGTCCAGTTCAGCCACTGGGCACCAACACTCAGCAATCAGACACTTCTGGGTGACGTCCAGGTTAAACATGTTCAGGGTGTGGTAGATGGCCTTGATCTTCTTCACTTTCACAAACCAGTTCTTAATGTTCTTAGCAGCAGCCACAAGCACACGGTGGCGGTGGTCCTGGGTTTGACCAAGCACCTGAGGGNAAAGGTCAAATCCAAGGGCATATTTGAAATCTCCACATATGACTTTCGGTCAGTTGTCTGTAGAAATTTTTCCCATAATTCCTTCCGTAGGGTAGATAATTGGCATTGAATTTTCAAAAATTTTGACAAAGGTGCAATTCAACGAGTGTCACGCCCAGGTCAATGCACCGACTGAGACAAAAAAACTTGGGGGTTCAAGTTGAGGTTATATGTGACCTAAATCCAAAAGATGGAGACAGGGGTCCTTGCGGTCTAGGAGGAGAAGCGGTAACGGTGACTTGTATCCGGCGCCAGTACGCGGAGCCGGCGGAGCAAACGGAGCCAATGGAGCCGGCGGAGCCGCAGGAGCCGGCGGAGCCGGACGAGACGGGTCGGGACTAAAACCATGAGTACCGCCAGCGTACACGCTGGTGGTACTAATAAGCCATGGTGACTAAGTGGTAGCCCATGTATATGAAAAAATGGACGCTTTCTTATATTTGCACAAGCTTGCCATATTTGTGATCATAATAGGGCAAGATATGAAACAAAAAATCTACCTAAAATGATGTTTTTTTTTTAACTTTTTAAACACACACGCACGCAAGCACGCACGCACACACACACTTAATGAAGGAATTTTTCAACTGACTCATTTCCAACTGTTTGTTTCCTGACAGAAAACCTCACCTCATCATCCAACTTGGAGGCCATGATCTGTTTCTCCTTGATGACGAGAACCAGGGCAAACAGGAACATAACGAACCCGTGACCTGCGTCTCCAAACATGAGAGAGAACAGAAAGGGGAAGGTGATGATGGTATACGGAGCTGAAATAAAAGACAAGAATGTAAAACAATCCATGGCCTGTATCTCCAAACATGAGAGAAAAGGAAAAGGACAGTGATGGTGATAAAATTAACTGAAAAATGTTAAGAAGAAAACAAAGAAGTCAAAACTTGCATCCCTAAGCAATAATAACAGGGGTATAATTGATTATTACCCTCACTGGCCTTATCGTAATTATTATTGTCATAATGATTGTCATAAGCATGTTTATGATTATCATTTTATCTATTTTTAGTATTGAATTTAAACATGAGAAGGTGGTGAGCAATATAATGGTGAGATTTAACATTACATAACATGCCTTTATTACATAATAGATAGATATTAGATTTCATTGAATACATACTTGGGTTCATCTCCCCGTATGTGTTCACACCATAGGCATCAATGATGCTCTGAAAGGCGCCAGTGAACTTGTTGGTCTTGTGGTAGGTGGGAGGCGCCTCCTTGGTGGTCATACGGTTCAGGATAGATGGAACACTGCTGCCACTGCGGTCCTGAGGTGCCACAAATACAAACAATTAAGAGCTCAGTTTAAGTAAACTGTGATAGCTCTCAATGTAATATGCGGATGAGGTAAAGAATATAGGCCTTGGCCGTCTCTGTGCCATTTATTTACTCATTTTTGTCATTTTTCTTTTTTGATTTTTTGGGCTATTGGCTCAGAAAACTTGATAACTTTTCTTCTTCATAGGAAATATTCTGAAATCTAAATCTTAACTCTTAAAAGCATTATCTTTTAATTCAAACTTTTGTTTCCACATGTCTTATATCACGCAAGAGGCACAGAGACATGAGCAGTGCCACTTTTAACAAAATAAATCATCATTATTAGTGACAGCATATCACTTACAGGCAAAGACAAAATCACATGAATACAATCATGGTTACATAACACTTCATTTAAGGCTCAGGCTGAATTCCACAAGAGATTCACATAAATCCTGCACTATATATAATCCAGTGTCTGTGTAACACTTACAGTGCCCCTCCTGAGGGCCAGCTGTATCTTGTCCAGTTCAGCCACTGGGCACCAACACTCAGCAATCAGACACTTCTGGGTGACGTCCAGGTTAAACATGTTCAGGGTGTGGTAGATGGCCTTGATCTTCTTCACTTTCACAAACCAGTTCTTAATGTTCTTAGCAGCAGCCACAAGCACACGGTGGCGGTGGTCCTGGGTTTGACCAAGCACCTGAGGGGTAGGAGAGCAAAAACAATAGTCTTTACTAATTAATTAATCCACCAAGCCATTCATACTCTGTGTATGTTAGTCCTCCAGTGGGTTATCACATAAAAGAAGTTTTCTTTAATTGATACTTATATTCTAAAGCCAGGATGAAATTTTGAAAACTACCTTTATCAATTAATCAATTAATTAATAAAATACCCTTTCAGCAATTTAGTACAATAAAAACATCCTATAGCCACAATCTGTCTTTGTTCCATTGAGACCACTTCACATTATTTCTGGTGAATTTTTCAAGTCCAGAATCAATGCCTCATTGTCCACAGTTTACCAGCAGAGATATACTTACAGTGTTCAAGTCCTCAATCCGTGTCATCACCCCAATAGCCATCTCTCTCCTCTCTGCTGGGGTCTCTGGGCAGGGGTACAGAGTGGCACGGAAACTGGAAGCAGAATTATGGAATGGTTTTCAAACTAAACAGAAAACAGTCAACAGTCTGCTGTATAAGCCACCAGTCTGAAGCAACTGACTTATAAATCTAGTGCCGTACTGATCATTATAAAAGAGAAAGGTATACAGACCAAATAATAACTTACTGCAGGCTGGCCTTGGTTTGCAAAATGTTAAAATTATATTAAGACTACTCACCCCTCACAGATTTTCTTCACTCTGCTCTTCAGCTGGTCTCCTTGGAAGAAGATGATGAAGACAGACTTGTTAACTTGATCTCCCTGCAATGCGAAATATACACATTTTCATAACTGGAATAAGAGAGATAATGAAGAGTTGCAAATTCTACATAAAATATGCCCATCTCATTACTAGCATTTGCAAGTTTGATAATGTCACTTAATAACTAACAAAAACTGTATTCAAAGTTGTGAAAAGTAAGTTTTTAAGTATTTCAAATGGCTTCTTTGATAAGTTGTGAAA